AAGTACACATATTTACTCAGTGATGGAAAACTTCTTGAAAGAAGCACTTGAGATGGGATAAGTGATTGCTAAAAGTTTATATTCCAGGAAATTTTCGTGGGGAGAAGGGAAAGTTTAGGACCAAAATCAACTCAAACTGACTCAAATCTACAATTGATTTATCAAATATTCTGGCGCAAATAAACTTTTCACTACACTTCTAATCATTTCCTTTTTATCACACCCCGACGCAATCGCCTTGAGAGATAATTCTTCGGATATATTTATGCAATATCAGAGGATATTCTGGTGATGATGAGAAATTGCACAAAGTATGCATTGTGGGGAAAAGCTTTCACTCCCACTTTTCCAAGCCGGATGCTGATTAAATGCATCACAAATTGCCGGAGGTTTATAATTAAATTTTACCACACAGTGGAGAAGCTCAATCTCTGTTTATACATTCTCATTTTCATCCTCCAACTTTTGCAGAAAAAGCTTCGCGAGAAGATACTTTTGAAATAAGGAAACCTAGACCTCTAATATACACAAATAAACTGTCTTATCAAACGATGCTTTATCATGTTATGATCAGAATCATAAGATATCTCGATGTTTTTATCTTTTAAGGGCATGATAAGGAGAATTTCCAAGAAACGCGCTCGAAAGCGTGACGGAGAAATGTTCATCTCGTGTTATTCCAGCAAATTTTGCTGCGCGGTTTCTCAACTGAGCGTTTAATTGATCTCCTGACGTTTCATCAGGTTGTGGCGCGATGAATCTTCCACCAAAGACAAAAACCCCTCTTAGACGCTCAGAGTTTAATGAAAATGTATGCGGATGAGAGAAACTAATTTGCCTGGGATATTATGAAGTGTTAGGCAATTTATTTGCAATCTATTAATTACATTCGTGAAGCATGTGGAGTAAAACTATGTAAATACATTTTGGAGGATGATGGAAAATGGCAACAGATTTACTCTGTCTGGGTGAATCGCATGTGACGGGGAATAATTTCGTGGATTCCACTGTGAGACAGGCGTTGTAAATTACGCAAAATCTTGCCTCAAAAGATGCCTCACACGTGTCCCGGCGCCAATGAATCGATAAATCTTAATTTATCACCCACTTTTTGAGGAGCTCAAAGGGTAGGAGTGAAGGCATTAATCACGACTTCACATCTCGCCAACTTGTACTGAACGACGGAAGACATGCAGATTGTTAATTACCTGCTGATATTGCATAGAAACTCGGTCATTCCTGCGATGGTTTCAGCTTCTGTTGCTAGTCATCATCAATATTGTACTTCCACGGGTGCCTTGAAAACTAACAAAAGGCAAAATCGTAATTATTCAGCAGAGCAATTTCAAAATTTTGCGTTAATTCATCTGCAAAATTTGCCATATTTACTTCAAAACCCTCAAAACGCCTTCAAATCGTCCGTTAAAGTATAAATATTGCTCTGAATTTATTATTTTGTAAATATTTTAGTTAATTTCATTGATATTTATTGAAATTTTTGACTATTAAAATATTACCTTCCAAAGTCGATTTTATCCAAACAAGTTCTAAAAAATCAACTTTTAATACTTCACTTGAACTTCTCTTTAATGTTTTCAAGTGGAAAAATTTAAAAGATATGAGAAATATTCACTCAAAGTCTCTAAAACATTTTAGGATAGTTTTGAAAATCTATAAATATTTCCTGAAAAGGTGTTTTATGCGTTTGACTTCAATTTTTGAAACATTTTTCATTCACAAAACATGGCAATTTTCCCGAAAACTATGATAAATGGATTTTTCTTAGTTTTCGATTCACCCCATCGACTTTATATTATACTTTTCACCTTTTGTCGTGACGGAAGAACAGAAGCCATTTGAAAGCTCTCTGGAGCGTGGCAAAAGTCTCATTCAAATGTATGGCTTTAAGGGATGCTGTGAATAGTTGAGGGGAAGAAGAAATTGCAATATTGCGTTAAAATATGGCGTATAGTGTAATTTGATTTAAGTTGAGCTGAGAGTTGAATTTAAATTGAGTTAAATTAGCTCCGGTTTCCCTTCTTAATTGACTCAATAAACTTTCTCTTTGCCAGATATTCTCATAAACAGGTATAATTAATTCAATAAGGTGCCCAATACACCATGTCATTTATTGAATATCATTCTTCCACAGTGAAGCTGCAATATCGATTAAAGTTGTATTAACTTATGAAATTATTCCACCTAAAGTGTCGATGAGGGAAAACTTTTCAAGTCCCTCTGAATGCGGGAATGCTTTAATGGAGTGCAGAAACTTTAGCATTTTGTCCACATTTTTTTTCCTCTCACCTCCCCTAATTACATTCCGTTCACACCACAGGCGCGTCTAAGAAGATCTACTCTAGGCTAGAGTGGAGAAAAATCTCTCAGATGTAATTACAAGTGTTGAAGTGGTTTTTTCTTCGTCCTCTTGGCCAAATGGAACACAGCTATATTTCAACTTTTTTTCCGTCCACCTTCAGAAGCTCAACACGACGGTCAGCATCCCCTATTCTGTTGACTTTTTCCCCATCATCAGCATCATTCCGCCCCGCACTTCAGATTTTGCTGCGCCCTGTGGGAAAAAGTGCAAAAGCAGTAAAGCCCAAAAGCTCTCTGTGGCTTTGGAAATGTCGAGAGAAAATCTTTCCGCTTGTGAACTATTGCCAAGTGTATTGTTGTTGCTTCTCAGCAAATATGCGGTGAAAGTGCATCTCGTGGAAAACAACTGAGTCAGAATCACCGCAGGTAAACAAGGCTCCATGGAAACTGACTGCAATTTCTGTTCGTGAGAATGGAAAATTACACTGGGCAATTAAACACGTGGGTGATATTATAGGGATTTATCACTGTGCCAAGATGCAGAAAAATAATCCTTATCTTGCAATTTCGTGAGTATAAATTGTGTGAAATTCTGGGAGATCTTCAGTAGTTTCCTGACTTCTCAGTTAATATCATATCAACTTGCACAGCATCCCAAAAAACAACCCCCAACAAGTCAAAATGAACAAGTTTGTGCTCTTCACTTTCCTCTTCGCCGCCTTCGTGGCCACCAATGTGAGTCTCTCACCTGACTAGAACCCAAAAACAGTGAAACCCAGATAGAACTGCGATTCTAACTTTCTTCTTCCTTCTCTAGGCCCAATTCTTCGGCGCCGGAGATGCTTTTGGTCCAGCCATGTGGAGCCCATGGCCTCAGCTTGTGGTGGAGAAGGCAGTGCAGAAGGTCCGTGACACGCCCGTGTCCGCCGAGCTGCAGCCCCAGCTGGATCAAGTCGTTGAGGATCTGGAGGCCGGCCTGGCGCAGTGCGAGGAGCTCCTGCCCCTCAACGTCTACTGGTTCTACAAGCGCTGCGTCGGAGTGCAGCTGAAGAAAGCCTCGAACGCCGCCGCCGCCCTCGAGGCCGCCTCCACCGCCGCCACCACTCAGGCCCCAGCCTAAGGAATCGTCTGCCACTCTAGCATCTCTGGCCCAAGGATTTTTCATGATGATTATTTATGTATAAACGTTAAATAAATTGCAATACAAAAGTTTATTTCAATTCCTTTTTCTTGACAAACTTCTCATCTTCCTGACCAATTCAGAGGCTTCAGGATCCAAAGCTGGTCAAAACAAGTGGTTGGATAGTTTCTTCAGCCAATTTGCTAGAGTGTGAAAAATTAAATTCAAGATGAGATTTAATAAATATAATAATATCAACGAGAAATCTTCCTGTTTACATAAAACTGTTATTATCATTATTTGTTACCGCTCAACTGAGTTTATGCTTGCAATTGGTGACTTCTAAAATCTCCCTAAAAAGTTCAATAATTAAGTCCAAAACATCAGCTGTAATAAATCTCTCACGGTGACTAAAGAGACTTCACATTGAAATTACGTTGTTTTCCACAGTGTTTTAGTGTCAAAGCTCTATTGCAGCTTTATACATTGAAATAATGTTGACTCTCTGCAAATAAGGACACACCAGACGGAACTTTCCTGGAGCACTCTGCTTAAATTACCGCTGCAGCGAGTGAGAATTAATTACGAGAACCCTTGAACTGCGATGGTGATAAATTTTGACAAAAATTGCGATAAAATTGAATTTATAGCGCGCGAGTAAACAAATGACTTTGACCTTGGTGAGAAAAAGCTCCACAGCACTGAAAGCTCCCGCGGTGATACCTGGACGAGGACACAATCTACTCCTGAGTTATTGATTCACATATACATTATATCATTGTGTCTATCCAGGAAAATATGGTGCAAGTTTTACATGGCACTTTTCACCTTCTGGGCAAAAATCTCTTATCACGGAACTCAAAGATAGAGTAAAATAATAAAACCCAGTGAGGTATTTCTCCACTGAGAGAGAGAGAGTGAGAGGAAATTTCCCCAGAAATGCTGCGAGGGTGGGTAAATAAATAGTAATGGAATGTGCGGTGCTTCTGATAAGGAAAAACCACGATGAGTTCTTATGCGATATGCTCTTGGCGATTTGTCGTGGACAGACGTAGACGGAAAAGCTCAGGCATGACGGAAGTTTGAGAAATGTCTGTCTCCGCAATGGGAGAATTTCTTCATTCTCCCCACATGCTCCATAGTATACATTATCTCTTTTGCTGCTACATTAAAAATAATCTCTTCGCAATGCGACAGACGCCCAAAGCACAGTTCCTCCAATCGCCACATGCTTGCTTACGACAAGAGCTCCAGGAGCAAGGCATAAACCCGGACTAACTGTCAAAGCTCTCTGCTAATTTCAGGCAAATAAATTAATAAAGCGCCATACCTCAGCATTTTATTTGCCAATATAAAAGAATTCATTCCGTGAATCAGTTGTTTTTGCTCTCTCCTCTCCTGTGGCAATTGCTGATGTTTGATATGAGATTAAGTTGTATAACTTGGGATGCATGGAGACCAATTTGGAGAAAAATGATTCATGCGTTATCTTCGCAAGTGATATTTATCACTTTTCTCACACTCCTATATAAAGGTGGCACACTCTTCCCAGCATCAGTACGATTTTTCGACTTGCAGATGCTTCTGCTCGACTCAGCATCGAATTGTTACAAGTGCTGACGATGACGAAAGTTTTCCTAAAGTGTTTTCTACTAGTGACAGTGCTGGTTTATAGTGTCGAGGTATTGCAACTCAATTGCATATGTTTATCATAGAGTTTCACATGAATTGGTTGTTTTTCTTTCCCCCAAAAGTGTCGACCGAAAGATCATAACCACGCGTTCGACTACAGAGAATACACCCTCAATGCGGTAGATGGATTAAAGTCTCAAGACTTGTCAAAGAGTCGGCGTGAAGACGTTGACGATTTGAGGAAAAGTGTAGTGGAAGCCTTCGATAAATGCGATAAACTCCACGAGTTAACGAACCAATACTGGGTATTCAAAAAATGCTCAGGCGAAACGTTTGGAAATTATATGGAGAAAGTGAAGAAGTTGAAGGAGAAAATCAAGAAAGATAATAAACTCGATTCTAATGAAGATTCCGGTTCTGATGAATCTACTGAAGTGAAAGACAAGTCTAAAGAAGAAAGTAAGAACAAAGACAAAGACTCTAAAGAGAAAGATTCGAAAGAGAAAAATTCGAAAGACAAAGATTCGAAAGAGAAGGAATCGAAGGAAAAGGAATCAAAGGAAAAGGAATCAAAGGAAAAAGAGTCGAAAGAAAGGGATTCGAAGGAAAAAGACTCCAAGGAAAAAGAATCTCACAATCACAATCATAACCATAATCATAATCACAATCATGATAAACACACCACAAAAGCACCACGTCCTACTCGACCACCCACAACAAATCACACAGCTTTACCTGAGCAACCAACCACGCAACATCCCGGTGCCACTGCTGGTCCCACAGGTTCTCCAGGTAAACAAAGAAACACAGTGCAATCACGAAGAGAAATGTAATAAGCAAGAAATGTTTTTTAATTGCACAGGAGCAACGCAATCCCCATCTCAGGCTCCAGGCGAAACAACTGCGAACCCAACATCTGCTAGCCCTGACGCACCAACCACTCAAGGACCTGTGGTGACTGATGCCCCAGGTGAGGAATAAATCAAAGAGAAATCACGAGGACAAATGTAATAAACAAGAAATGTTTTTAAATTGCACAGGAGCAACGCAATCCCCACTAGGCTCCAGGCGAAACAACTGCGAACCCAACATCTGCTGGCCACTGAGCACCAACCACTAAGGACCTGTGGTGACTGATGCCCCAGGTGAGGAATAAATCAAAGAGAAATCACGAGGACCAAATGTAATAATCAAGAAATGTTTTTAAATTGCACAGGAGCAACGCAATCCCCATCTAAGGCTCCAGGCGAAACAACTGCGAACCCAACATCCGCTGGCCCTGATGCGCCAACCACTCAAGGACCCGTGGTGACTGATGCTCCTACAACGCAAGGACCCGTGGTGACTGATGCGCCAACCACTCAAGGACCCGTGGTGACTGATGCGCCAACCACTCAAGGACCCGTGGTGACTGATGCTCCTACAACACAAGGACCCGTGGTGACTGATGCGCCAACCACTCAAGGACCCGTGGTGACTGATGCGCCAACCACTCAAGGACCCGTGGTGACCGATGCGCCAACCACTCAAGGACCCGTGGTGACTGATGCGCCAACCACTCAAGGACCCGTGGTGACCGATGCTCCTACAACGCAAGGACCCGTGGTGACTGATGCGCCAACCACTCAAGGACCCGTGGTGAC